CTCTCTCAGGTACTCATGTCATCAAACTTCATCATGATAACGGACGAGCACATTTTCATAAAGACGTACTCGATTATCTTTGTTCAGAAGAAATTACCGTAGTACCACAACCACCAAATTCTCTAGATCTGTCTCCGTGTGATTTTTGGTTGATCGACTTGATCAAACGAAATCTAACTGATCAAGCTGATTCCGAATCGTTACACAACGCTATAACGGAGTTCATGTATTCTTTGGATAAAGAAGAGTACAGGAAAAAGTTCGATAAATGGATTCAAAGAATGGAATTGTGTGTAGATAATCAAGGCAATTTGAACATTTAATGAAATAAAAACTTCTTGAACTTGTTTATGTATTTTCAATTATTGGACATGCTAATCTGAATGAACGTTAAAGTCTCGAAAGAGGTGAGAGGAAAGAATAAAGGAAAGAATAAAAACAAAGAAAAGATCAAGAAAAGAATGCCTATTGAAGACAATATGAACTTTTGTAACCGTGACACATGTTAGGTAAACTAGTCTTATTAGGATTTTTTTATTATGATGTCATCTGAAGTATGAGCGAATAGCATAGAAAGAAAGAGCTTTTCTCGTTCTATCATCCTATGTAAAAAGAAATTTTTATCAACCTTAATATGTGGTAATAAAATGTCGTTGTCACTACTTTTGGATACCCCTATGTATATTTATGAATTTGTTTTGTTTTCTTTCATCGAGAATATAAAAAAATTAAAAAACTTTGCGCCACAATGTTTTAAAACTCGTCATATTCCAGATGGACCTAAGACGATTTTTTATAATGGTCAGATCGTCAATTGTCTCGTTAATCGGTTTGATTCGATCAACTTGTTCTACCATAGATTCTGTCAGCCATTTAAAACCTTCATAAAGACCTTCATTTTGAATAGCACAAGCTGGCTGCAAATGCCATTTTGTATTTCCATTGAGTTTAGCTAAACCGAGTTTGACTTGTATTTCATTCAATGTCATGGCATTGGATAAGTCTTGTTTATTGGCAAAAATTAGAAACGGTTTGTTACAAAATATTGCTGTGTTTGACATTTGAAGAAGTCTATCCCGTGCTACATCGATGCTTTCTCTATCAGTTGAATCAACAACAAAGATAATTCCCGAAATGCCATCGTAGTAAAAACGCTGAAAAACACGATTTCTCGAGCGTCCACCCTCTTTCATAGCCAGTATAGAAATGTTGTCAATTTCTATTATAATATTCAAAGCGAATGTTGACGCTATTGTAATATCTTTGCCAAATTTGACGACATTAAGTAAAGTTGTTTTGCCTAAATGAAAATACATGTAAATAAAATGTGGACATATTCTTATGAAGTACAATCAAATTAACTGAACACTTACATCCAAGAAACTAGATCACCAATGGTTCGAGTTACAGTTGCCAATCGGTCTCTTTCTGCTGATGAATCAGCATCATATATGATCAAAAGAAACAGTTTTTTTTATCAATCTCTTAATTTGAATCTAATATCAGGCTAATATGATGAAAGAATGAGTGAATATCTACAGGTAATCTAGAAATTGTGAGCTATATTTTAGAATGAACGTGATAATGCACTTTAACATCAATGAAGCACCCTCCTCACATCTATCATAGAACGTCAAATGTACTGCACAAAAAACTTATCGAAAATGATTAAAATTTAAATTAAATGTTTGTCACAATCTTACTATTGTCTTTCTTTTATTTGTATACATTTTTCAAGCACAACTAGTTCATTTAGAGTATTTTATTAATTAAGTAATTCTAGAAAAAGGAATTTTACAAGACCTGAATCTATAAATAGACTACGAATGTGTAAAATAATAAGAAAGTCCGGATATAAATACTACTAAAGATCTCTGGTCTTTGTAATCCATTTTTTTCAATAATGATACATATGACTTATCGATGTAGAATTGTCAATATTCGTTTGCTTTTTATTAAAAACAATTTGAACCTTTCGCAATCATATATGACTAAAATGTTTGTTTTTCTTTTTTGGCTGCACATAGTCAAAATTGTACAGGTATGATGCAATTTCTTTTATGAGTCACTATCTATCATCGAACAATAGTCATTCGAACTTTGTTATTAGCTGTGTGTAGATGTCGGGAGTTCTTTTTTAACAAAATATCATCAACCAGTTTGTAAATGTTCTCTCCTTTTTCTATGATGTTACTACATCTGTTAGTCATATATACGAGTGCACTGCACATTTGAACTGTATGTATCTTCAAAGACTTGGGTAGTCTAGAGGAAAAATGCGTATGAGTAATCAATTATAAAAATTTAGTATAGGAACTTTCCAACAAATTTAAAAAAGCGATAAAAGAAAAATGAATTAGATACTTTGTGATATTGAACTAATGTTTTGACTATATGACTGATTTTGATGAATATACTACTTTTAAAAATAGTGATGCCCTCAATGGAGAAGTTTGTCAGGAGAATGAGTTTTTCGATTTTTGTACATCCTGGTCAAGTTTTTTATCTTTTACTGTCATTGTTTGAATTTCGAAATCCGCATTTCCATTGACGAAAACAATAATGCTCAATGTATTCGACATGTAATTTCGTTTTCAAGTAATACCGAATAAAAGTATCGTCGACTATGTTTTCTACTACGAAGCTTCTTCTCACAAATGCTGTTTGGTACAATACAAATGCATGTCATTAAAGCATTTTCTGAATGTTTCAATTACTGTTTGAGCAGCCAATGTCCCAAATGAAGTGTTGCATTTGATTAATCGACGGTGTGTGTGTCGGTTGGTATGAAGATTTCTTTCACCTACACTCTCACCGTCTGTTTCCTTCTTTCTGACTAGTACAGAAGTATTGAAAATTTGAGAATATGAATTTCTAAATTGTTGTTTTCCAAGATGATTTTTAATCTATTGTCGTCAATGGTGTTTAACACATAAACAATATTATCATATGCAATATAAATGTTTATCGCAAAAAGATAATGACCATACTCGATCTATGGATGTAGCTATCAACCAGAACAACTGTTTGTTGTTGTTTTCTCGATGATAAATTATTACTTACATTTATATGGTGACAACCGGACACAGAAAAGCAAAAAACACATTTTACGTGGAGAGAGCACAAAGATAGATTATCGTTGTATGCAAAATAACTACGGATGCTTGTCTCGTCGAAATTACGTATGATAGTGAATAGATTGTGAGTAAGGAGAATATATTTGAAACATTATTGATTTTTATACGGAATTGACGAAAGAACTAATCCAATTCTAATTCGCTATCGGCACTCATATTGGACCCACAAAGAGGTCCTAGTAAAATTAGAAACATTCTAAAAATGGTTCAGACTTATGGAGCTTTCGAAGTGACGAGGGAGGGTCACCAACGGATCAATCGCTTTTGTGTTAATACCATGTGGATTATGTGGGTACCAATGAGCTATGAATATCGTGAAAAAAGTTCGGATCACTAGCTTATTGCTACGAAGATACTGCACTTTTACAGTATTTTTTAAAAAGAATGCCGTAGCTCCCTTCAGGAACATAAAGAAAAATGATTTTCGAATTTCGACTTGGAAATTTGCAAAAAAAACAGGCCTTACCAAAAATAGTTGTTTGTGAAAGTTTTAGGTCTTTTGGCTTCTTCGTATACTGAAATGAGAACATCAAATCATTTGGTTTATCCGAATGAAGTTATCATAGTTGTAACTACGGATAGAAATAGAGAAAAGATCTGAAACTTTCACAAAATACTATTCTTGGTAAGGCCTGTTTTTTGCCAAGTTTCAAGTCGAAATTCGAAAATCATTTTTTCTGATGTTTCTGAGGAAGACCACAGCATTCATTTTAAAACATACTGTGAAATTACAGTATCTCCGTAGCAATAAGCTAGCGATTCGGGCTTTTTTCACGATATTCATAGCTCATTGGCACCTACATAATGCACATGGTATCAACGCAAAAGCGACTGATTAGTTGATGACCTTCCCTCATCAGTTTCAAAACAACCTAATTTCATATAAAAACTTGGTAATGAAAAAATTTTATTTAGAGAAGAAAATACATTTAAACTATCTTTAGTTGCATAAGAACCTCTCGCATATTTACTAGAGTATTGTCGGTGTCTTCTCCGTCAGCTTTAGCTAGATCTATTTTTTTAAATTACTAAAGAATGCATACATATTTCATTTATAAGAATATCAGTTAATTAGAATAAACACTTATACGTGGAACTTATGTAAAAAAAAGCTTCAAGAGAAAAAGCAGATTAAAACAGATTGAGATCATATATTGTTGATTGGTTCCAAGGACGCCATTTGATGTGAAGATAGTGTCAATTGATAGAGCCTAAAATCCATTCATGAGAGCCCGACTCATTTTCTTCAAAAAGTTGTAGACAAAAGAATCAAATATCATTTTTATAAGTCCACTCTCACCCAGACCCTAAAAAGACATCACATTCGACAATAAACAAAATTATCGAAGAGCTCCAAATGATTCGAACGTATTGAAGAGTGTACATGAGTGTGTATGATCATCTTCCGGCTACAACTCATATCCCCACCCGTACTCCACACCCCATATTCCATACCCACACCCACATTCTCCACTCGACTTGTTTAGGATGACTCCGATCTAATTTTGTGACACTAGAGAACTTTTTCTATTCTGTCTTTCTATCACAAACTTTGGGATCGAGTCAGAATGAAAGGGGACTCATTTTTCTCTGTATATGATTTGAAACTCATTATAAATTGTGTTTTACAAAACTACCGTAGAAAGTTTCTATAGCTTAATGTGATAGTAGATCAAAAAGAAATTCCAAGGAAAATGGTTAGAGGTATAACAGGAAATAATAAACAAATAAGACAGTAGGACTTTGAAGATTTAATGCTTGCAAACAAGAACAAGAGTATGAATTGTCAAAAATTGTCTGTTGTGTTGCCTTGTTGAAATAATTAATATATTTCTGCATTGTTCAAATCATACTAACGTTTAGTCATTCATCCGTAACCAACGCATTTCCATTTGTTAATACGGATGCAGTGTGCTCCACTCGTTGACTGTTCATGCTGTCAATACTTATCCAAGTTTCGGTTGTTGGATTATAGAACTCGACACTACTTAGAAAACCACCGAGATTTTCTCCACCAGCAACTAACACTTTTCCATTTGTTAGCACAGATGCTGTGTGCATCACTCGTTTACTATTCATGCTACCAGTAGTTGTCCAAGTTCCGGTTGATGAATCATACAACTCTGTACTAGTGAAAAAATCGTCATTACTGTATCCACAAGAAACTAACACTTTTCCATTTGCCAATACGGAAGCTGTGTGCCAAGCTCGTTTACTATTCATACTACCAACATTTAACCAAGTTTCTGTTGATGGATCGTACAATTCAGCACTACGTTGATAACCATCAGTATTTCTTCCACCAGTAACTAACACTTTTCCATTTGATAATACGGATGCTGCGTGCAGCACTCGTCGACTATTCATGCTATTAGTAGTTGTCCAAGTTCCTGATGATGGATTATACAACTCGATGCTACTTAGAATATTATCATCGTTGTGTCCGCCAGTAACTAACACTTTTCCATTTGTTAATACGGAAGCTGTGTGCCAAGCCCGTTCAGTATTCATGCTACCAGTATTTAACCAAGTTCCTGTTGATAGATCATACAATTCAGCACTACTTAGGAAGCCATCAATATTTCTTCCA